AACGATGAATAATCGATTTTCAAGTTGATAATCGATTATCCATCGTCTTCTACCTCGAGCCAACTTGCGGAAATGTCACTTTTACTCACCAAACTTCAATTAAAGTATATAAAAATGTTCTCCAAGGTTCATGGATCATTTTAGCATCATTAATTCATAATTTTAACATCAATTTCATGGTTTATGATTCTTAGTTCTTCAAGCATGTCAAACCCAAAACTCAACCAAATGACCATCTATGAACGTAGAATCGATCTATATGAGCATTCTAGTCATTAGATATATCTACGGGCTTACCTTGAAGCATAAGGGAGGTTTTGAAGATTTTCCGGCGACGAATACTCTCTGCTCCAGCGACCTCACACAAAAGTGACAACACTAGGACACTCCTCTCTCAGCAAAGAACAATATAGAAGCAAAATTGAATTGTTTTGGTGAAGTATTAAAGGAGTTGTGTTTGTTTATATAGTGGAGAAGAAGGGAAGAAGCCAACTCCTATTGCTTCTACGTAATTGGGATCGACTGATTGCACTGGAAGGGAACACAAGATTTATAGTGGTTCGGTCGGCTGACCTAATCCACTTTGCAACTAGGGTTTTTATTATCTAGGTGCTCACAGAATTACAAGTACAGAGATCCCTATTTATGAAGACTAAACTAGGGTTGAAAACTTAATCCCCAAGTTAGGCCCAAGCCCACATAGAGAATTAGGGTCGGCTAAATTAAAAACCTAATTTACTGCCATATGGGTCGAACCAAGACTAGGGCCGGCTGCCCTTCCTGGTCGAGCCTCCACACTCAATTCGCCCAACAGGAAATAGGTTTTGTACACATCCCAAAGTTTTCCATTCTCCAAAACAACCCTTTAAATACTAAGGGAATCATTTTCTGGTATGGTTCAAGGTGCAGGACCAAGTAAAAGGATTTTTCTGAATCTGCGTTGTTCCTTTGACAAGAGTCATTTTTCTGCTCAAATAGTTTAACTTCCTCCCTATTATATCCTTTTTGTTGGCCTTGAATGCCATACCCCGTAACCGTTTTGATGTGCCAAATAAGTCTTCGAAATGTTAGTAACATCATTTGTAGGAAAAACAAACGCCAAAACCTCTATTAGCTTGTTTAACATCACCGAGATATACTCCTACGAGTTTAGAAATTGTTGTGTAAAGGTAATGATATATTTTAATGAGTTACTTATGCCCTTTCACTCAAAATTTAATTTTAAAATGACAAATATATTCTTAGTTGGGGTTATTTTGAAAACGGAACACGAAAAAAGAGTTTTGGAATTTTTACACAGGCCTAACGGTACCTGGCTACCGTATACACGGCACCAGGGTACCGCCGGTAGCGTAGTGAACGTACCGGGAACGTTTCACTCAGGAGGTACACGGTACCCCCCCTACCGTGAGACGGTACTTGGATACCGTACGGTAGGCTGAACCGGCTGGGTACCCCCGTCTTAACAGGTACCCAGTAGCGAACCTAACTTTTGGCCTACACGGTACCCCCAAACGGTAGGCTGTACCGTGTGTCACGGTACCTAGGTACCGGACGGTACTGACCCTACCGTGAAGGGTACCAGATCCGTTGGCAGCACTATAGCAAATTGCCAATTTAAATTTAAATCACCCCTAATCACTCCCTAACGGAATTTAACGTTAAAAACTCAAATTTTAACATTCCAAACTCCTATATAAACCCCCTCTAAGTCTCATTTTATGGACAACAACTTCTCAATTAAATCTAAAGCCTCTTTCTCTAATTCTTGAGTGTTCTTAAAGCTTTGTTCTTATTTTTCTTACTCCTTTGAGTAAAAAAAACTTTCATCTTTTTATACACTCACACACAAGGTCATTTGTGCTTCATTATTTTTATATCTTGCCTATATGCTGTTGTTGTTGATATAATCTTTTGTTCTTCTCCTACCCAATTCATATTTGTTATTATTTTGGTAGAGAAGCAACACCAATCTTTTATTGATTTGTAAAAGGTGTGGATAGCCTTTAAATCCTCATTGTAAGGTTGAAGATAGCCTTAAAATCTTTGGTTGTAAACGGTTGAGATAGCCGTAGTAAAATCTCGTTTGCTTATTAGCAAGGGTTGTTTGCCAAACCTCGTTTGAGTCTTCTTAGTGAAGCCAAACAAGTTAGTGGAGGTTAAATCCTTGAGGAGGAGCCTCGAGGTACTGGAGTAGGGAGTTCCCGAACTAGTATAAAATCGCTTGTGTCGTATTTTTATATTTTATACTTTTCTTGCTCTTTCTCCGCTACTACTTTGCGCATAAGTTTTTTGTTTTTTATTAAAAAAATTTGCAAACACCCTAATTCACCCCCCTCTTAGGGTGTAAACCGATTTTCAATTGGTATCGGAGCAGGAAGTTTGATCCTTTCACACTCATGTTTTATCTCTTTTTACGACAAATGGATTCAATGAACTCCCAAAGCATTACCAAGCCACCATTCTTCAATGGGGATAACTATGGCTATTAGAAAATGCGAATGGAGAATTTCATTCAATCTATTGACTATGATTTATGGATAGTCACTACTCATGGTCCGTTTGTTCCTATGACAACTGTAGGTGAACACCAAGTTCCTACTCCAATGGACAAACCACCGAAGACAAGAAAAAACTCTCCTTGAATGCCAAAGCATTGAACGTGTTGTTTTGTGCCTTGGGACAAGATGAGTTTGCTAGGGTGAGCTCTTGCAAATCCGCAAAGGAAGCATGGAAGCTCCTAGAAGCCACCCATGAAGGAGATAAAGACACAAAAGCTACCAAGATAGCTTTAGGAACATCCGAGTATGAAAACTTCAAGATGAAGGCCGGAGAATCCGTTCAAGATATGAACAAGCGATTCAACCTCATTGTCAACAATTTGAGTAAGCTAAATAAAGTTTATCCCACTAGTGAGATTAACACCAAGATTATATTCTCTCTTCCTAGAGAGTGGCATAGTCTTGTTGTAAATTTGTTGCCCAAATGTGCGGATGTTGAAACCTCCACCATTTGGAGCAGCCTATACTCTCACGAGCTTCTTTTGAAGAAAATGAAGGAAGAAGAACAGGTTCCTATCATCAAGAAGACCATGGCACTCAAAATAGATGACCATCCGGAAAGCGAAGGAGAAAGTGATGAGGAGCTTGCCATGTTCAAGAGATACAAGAAGTTTATGAAATGGAACAAGGGCGAATCCTCAAAAAGATTTCCATCAAAGAAAGGTAAACCTAATCAAATAACTTG